ACCAGTTGTCATATATGAGGGTCCTCCGTTTCTTATCAATGAAGCCTGGGTTGAGGCTGCAATGGACTATGGCTCGTATGAAAAAGTGGTTACAAATTTCTATCCCAGACTTTTGGGCGCTTTTGATCGGTCTAATGCAACCTATGATGTTTTCATTGATCGCAAAAGAAATGGAACATGTGCTTTTTCCTCATATCGCGCATATTTTACCTTCAAACTCACTGAGAGCATATGCAAAAAAATTTTTTTAGTTGCATCGTTAAGCGGCCTGCAGCATTTTGTATCTGAAGAATCTTCTGATTTTGTTTCACAAAAATATCGCACGAAATATTCCATTTCTCCCTCATCAAAACCGAACCAATCGATTGAAGGCCAAAAAGGAGCCGAAAACTTTATCTACAAAAAATTAAGCTCCACTCGGAATATATTGAACGAGATAGAAAAGTTTCACTTTTTAAGGTGGAATGTTGATCTTGTTGATACGATGTTCAGATATCTAGTTGAAATTGGAAATGGCGTGTTTGAAACCAAAGAGCATGTGTTTTTCAGAGACCTAAAAGTAGCTTATGATCGATTTCAAATTCACAAGAAGAAAAATACTTTCAACGCCGTTCCTAAAAACATAGCCGATAATAGACCCATAAGAGCATCTTTTTGTGATAATGTTAATTTCTTTTTCAAGTTTGGGTCTCACGAAAAGCTATCCGCTAACGACACGTTTTATTGCGACCTTCCCAAGTTCGAGTATCAAGATGGTGTTTATGGTCGTGAAGAGTTCTGGGAATTTTCAAACTCAATTTTTCATTTCTTGGAAACCGAAACCGTTTATCAGCCATGCTTTATAGACCAAGAAATTCCTTTAATTTCATATTTGGATTCGCTGATATTTCGCGTCATGCCAATGGTAGACAAATTTGATTCACTTGATGTCCATAAAATGGGCTTTCTTTACACATTTTTTACCAAAACACTGCGTTTATTGAAATATGACAATAATCTGCTTATGTACCAAAAAGTTCTCATTTTATTCGAGATTTTCAAAACCTACAAAGAAATATACGCTCGCCATTTAAAGGCCTCTCTGAATAACGATCAATACAAGTTTAGGCTTATTAATGATTGGATTTTTGAAAGGCTATCACCCTATGTATATTTCAATCCAATTGATCTTCCCGAAAGAACTTTACCAGCATATGTGGGATCTATTGAGTTTCGTCCTGAAGATACCGCAATTACCTCTAAATTAGTCTCCATATTGTTTAAAAACAGCAAAGACCCTCCGAATCCAGCTGAAATGCGACAATTTTTTCAATTGAATCTAATTAATTACCACGAAGAAGGTATAAAGTATGACAAATATCTAAAGGATGACAAAGAATATCCAAAGTATGATCAAGCTCAGTTAAAAAGAATGGCATATATTTTGACAGTAATTTCGAACCCTATTAGCATTGAGAATTCCAATAATACCGTGCTTCCAGAAATCTTCTTACTTGACCGACATTATTACAATCTTTTACATATGCTTTGTAAAATAACACGTAATTATGGCGGTTTAAATATTCCACGCCCAAATCATCCTTTGTATTTCGGTGTTTACATTGGTACTAAGCGCCATTTTAATTTAAAAACAGATGGTTACAGCAATCATAAAGAAATCGCATCAATATCGTCGAAAGAAAAACGGCCTTTGGAGTTAATCAATTTGAGGCACAAATTTTCGTCTATTTTTTACCTCTTGACGTATCTACAAGAAGATCATGTTTTCATCTTATCTGAACTTGGAATGGAAATCATTTATACTTTCATCCTAAACCCATCGATATATATTGACAATTCAGCGATGGCTCTACCTCCAGTTATCCAATATTTTTTGTGTTGGAAGGATAAAATACTCGCAGAAATTTCGACAGACAAAGATGACATTCAGAAATTAAGGCTTTTGGCAAATTACCAGATCATTCTCAATCACTTGATGTCGATTGAAAAAAGAGACCTCGACATTGGTGATCTTGAGAATGTTTTTGTGGGTCAATATCAGCCGATTTTCGCCTTTCTCAAGCTTAATACGCTGATACTTGAGGAAAAGTTTTCTAACCTGACCAATAGCCATGACGTCTATTTGTCGGTGATATCGAATTTTGAGCTCATAAAGTCGTTCTTTTTCAAGGAAGAAATTGAATATGTGCTTAAAATGTATTATGACCATTGGAAATTTCTCTCCTCTAAATCAAGATGTGCAGCCCAGACAGAAAAAGGAATCCAAAATTTGGTGAACGGAAATTTTCTGATCGATGGAGAACGCATCGAACTTTCGGGGCTCCCCTTCCCCAACCACCGTTTATGGAAAATGATGGACGTCAAAGACAAACGTGATTATAACATTGAATTTGCTCTATATAAGCGCCTATCTGATGGGTTAATATTCTCAATCTTCAAACATAACGACCTGAATTTGGCGATTCATGAAAACGATGCATTTTTACTAAAGAATGGTGAAGTAATAGCCATTCTTTTTTCCTATAGCTTAAATCTTTGCGATGAAAAAATGAACAAGAAAGTTGCATTCAATAGCAAAATGGTAGGATCAGACGATGGTATCATTGGATTCAAAACYAATAGTACTGATTCAGATCAGAAAATTATTTACCTTTTTGATTTACATGGATCAGTCTTTGGAGTGATTTATGACGAAAATACTCTGGTTTTGAAAAACTCGTCCAAGTTTGTGGGAAATGTATCGAGCCCACTTCCCTGCTCTTTTTACATAAATCTGTTCTGCTCTTTCGCTTCTGAATCGCAATCGTTGCTTCATGTTTTTTTAATCCGTGGGGTTCTTTTTAACTTTGCAGCAGACTCGTACATTTTCATACTAGAAAGTGAGGCTCAATCCTTTTATTTCTTCAATAGTTACAATGGCCCAATAAAAGACTTTTACGCCATGAAAGAAGGGAGTGACGAGTATTTTCTTTTTATCAATGGTGAGAAATTCAAGATCCACTCTCCTGCTGGGATCGAGGGAAATTTCTTCGTCTCCTCAAACTTGCCCTTTTTATTTGTGTCGATTGAAAATTCCTTCCACATTATCATTCCGGTACCTCTGTCACCACCTGGAGATTCATACAAGTTTACTTTTGTCAA